TGGGCCTTCAGCCTGAGAAAGAGTTGGTGAGATCCCGGAGGTGGCTGCTCAGTAGGCGGGAGTGTGCACGGTGAAGGAGAGAACGAAGGAAGGTCAGTTGGGAGGTTCAAACGAGACCACCACCAAGCTGTTCCCTGGTTCTTTAGTTAGGATGGGGAAGTGTACTTGTGTTATTTATTGTAAATATAGTACCAATCCGAGTGTTTTGGCTAATTCTATTTTTATGGGTTAGTTTTAAAGTTCCTGAGAATTGACTTACAGATAAACCGAGCCCTGCGGAGCTGTTTCTTTATTGAAATTTATTAATTTGTCTAGGTGTAATTCTGTGTAGCGTTGTTTAATTTGGATTTAAACTTGAATTTAATCTTCTACTTGGTGAAGTTTCAAAGATTTTATTCAGTTAATGAATTTGGATTCTGTCTGGAGTGTCCCTTGAGTTTGTTTTATTTTTGTCTTATTTTATTGCTTGTTTTAACAGTAGCAAAATAACTGTTTTGTGTTTACACTTTGAAATCTGGAGTGTTAACCAGCTCTCCTGTTGAAATATCTACTTAATATTTCTCTCCTTAATTGCTGCCTTTTACTACAGTGGCAATCTTAACTGTATATCACTTTTTCGCACCGGAGTGACAACCAGAAATGCTTGAGAAAAATAATACTCTATTTTCTTACTTCTCTGAGGGGGGCGAAAAGTCGCAGAAAGGGTCTCCCTTTTATACTCCTTGGGTCGCCTTCCTTTTTCACACTCTACCTTCTATTTACAGGATTTATTTACAGTGTATTTTTCTCAAACTGAATAAAAAGTGAAATTTTCACGCTATAGTTCCACTGCGCTCTGCTGCGCTGAACTGCGGCTCTACTGCGGTCAGACTGCGCCTGGAATCCTTATTGTCCTTCCTCGCCTAAGCTATTTTAATGGTTAATTAGAATTTGTCTGCGCCGCATTTGCCGCAGTTCCCTATTTCAAATTCCCCATATTTCCCATTAAGTTCGCTATGACTCGGTCATACTGAATTCAAACCTCGCATTACTATGCGTGCGACTGTGCTGAGACCTTCAGCTGATTTATTCCAATTTTATTTAGTGACATTTAGTTAAAATGAGACTGAAATGATAAATGAGTGAATTATTCAGGTTTAAAACTGAAAGAAAAAGTTGCTAGTAATCAAGAATTACTCAAACGAATGTGTTATAGCTCTCTACTTCATTAGAACATCGTTCCCTAAAATTCCCGCCATGGTCCGTCGTAGTTTAGTAGTTTTCGTGAATTTCGTTCATATTCCCTGATTCCCCTTTGTATTATCACATCCTAATCCTCCATATGTATTGTTCGTTGTTATAGTAGGTCGTCCTCGAAGATATCATATTTTTATGTATTTTATTTAGGGCTCTAGACCTCTTGAAGCTGTCTTCCCGCGTGTTTTCAGGTTTCTAACTTCATGTCCTTGTATCTCATTCATTTCTGGATGTTTTCTCACGTTCTTGGTATCATAAATTTTCATTTATTCCCACCTTTCCAATGGTACTAAGGTTGTGTCCTATTTCCCTGTATTCGTTGAGTTAGCAAAGTTTCGCGCGCACATTCGGTAATCACGTGCGTCGTTCCCATAGTTGTTCGTATGCGGGAGCCGTTTTCGTTTAGTTGTTCAGGATTTATGATATGCACAGGTGTTTATTTCTTTCATATGGGCTTCTGTGATTTATTTCAGATTTTTCCCTCATGTTCTAAGGTTGTTTTGCACTTTCCGTGCTTTGTTTTGACCGGGCTCTTCCTTATTTGGACGGAAATTGGTCTTCACGATCTGCCGAAGTGCGGATCTCGGTTCCGACGGCCGGTTCCCTGCGCATCGCCACCCTCACATGTCATTACACATGATGCGGATTCCTATATTCCCGTCATGGGTATAACTTCACAACGGCTGGACCGTTTGGGCTGAGAATTTGCATAGCTATAGTTTCCTATTTTTCATAATTTCCGTGTAAATTTCGTTGTATGTTTTAATTATGGATCCTACGCAATCATCGTCTTGTCCCTGAGCTCGGACTTTTGATGTCGCTATTCCCGTTATTGGATTTCTCATTAACGCATGATCCTTTTGTTATGGAAATTTGGGAGGATTAAGAGTAGATCCCTTCCTTTCTAATGGGCTATCAAGCTTGTCTCGGTTGTTACTAGTTAATCTTCGCGCTTGCTTTTTAGACATTGTCCTTGTTTTGCAGGAGTTTTAGTCATATCTCCGTCGTTTATGGGTAGCTTCCCCTGTAATTACTCTCATTGGTTCCGTTTGGGGGACATCTACATTTCCTATTATAAACACGACTTTGACTTTTGCATTAGTTCCTGAGGAATCTTTGTTCCGTGGTACTTCCATCCTTGCTACGTGTGCGAACGTGGGAAAGTAGTTTCCGTGGAGGTTCTCTGATTATTTTTATAGTCAAATCTTGGTCGATTGTCCTAATTCTTGGTTTAATATTTGCTATAAATTCCCCTGAGAATTCCGTCTCGTTGATGGTAAGCTTGAAGTATTTTTGTTATTTTTCTTTCTTTCGATTTATCGTGTATAGTCATAATAATTCGTAAGAATTCGTAAAATTCGTTAAAATTCAGGTCCTTCTATGTTCTCATATCTACTTGTCGTATGAGGTTTTTGTGATTTATCTGGCATATTTCCATAATGGGTTTCCATAGTGTGGCCGTTATTTCTCCTACAGCGCTCCATTCTGAGTCGCTGAAGCCGAGTCCCTTCAACACCCCATCACCCTCGGAGCTCCGCCCCACCTCCAGTCTGTCTCCGACCCACCATCAGACAACCCGGAACACCGAGCTCCACCTGACAGCATCGCCTGGATAGTGATCGACCTATCCTCTCAAAGAAAGACGTTGTAACGGGTCAATCGCCTTGACTCGAGACAGAGAAGAGGGGGAGGGTTGTAGTGTGCGCGGGTGTGGTTTGTGGGGCCAGGTTTTGGTCCGTGGGCGCTACTGAGTTTGCAAAAACCTCAAACAAACACTCACCTACATCTCTCTTGGATGTCAAGGCTGAGTATTATGATGAGAGGGGTCTTAGACATGAGCAACTAGCTCAGAGGGGGCGTTAGGGTCGTGGATGGCGTCTTTGCCACTTGGATGTAACTTCTGCTTGTCCCTTCACGGGTCTATTCAGTACTAACTTGTTATGTACAAGCTGTTATCTAGTTTATATATGTTTGAAATGGAATGAATGGCATGGGGGAATATAAACGGGCCGTTAGGCAACCGTAAATGATGAATATCCAATTGGGAACAAAGAAACAACAAAAGAAATATGAATGAATGGGGAATATATCATAATGGGTCCGAAATGGAAATTGTGAAAGTTAACTCCGCAACACTTCACCACAGCGCCCACCTATCCTCCCGTCAGCAGTCTCCTCGTCTCCCGCTTTCCAACGAGCCCTTATTCATCCCAATTGGTGCAGTACTTCTTGAGATGTGGCCAATGACAGGTGCTGTCAAGACCATGTGAGACTCTACTCCATGCTGAACCATCCGGGTATGGGATTGCCATTCTGGGAAATGCTCCGGGGGTTAAGAAGGAAGGCATAGCATCACTATCGGGTAGAAAAACGGCTGGGTTGTATGTGTGGTTATGGAGATGTAGAGAGGGGGTGAAATTGGCAGCATGGTTGGGCGTGGGAATTTTGCTTGGGGTTGTCGGGAATGATGGGGAAAATATGGAAAAATAAGGAGCGAGTTTATGGAGTGTTGGATAGTGATAGAATGAGCATCTGGAGCGTCAGAGGGTATGTGGTGTATGTTGGTGGCCAAATTCCGCAGAATCCGACTTTTTGCAGTACATGGAGTTGTCCCCACAACAACGTTCGTGACACAGAGGCAAACAACCACACCACTACTCAAGGCCATGGGCACAAGGGTGCAGTTGGGATTTTGGCTTCAATGACTCAGTGGAGCATTGCACCTCATTCTCGACATGGTCCTGATATTTCACAGTGGAAGGGTCCTTGCAGATGAGGGGGACAGAGGGGTAACCCTAGTTGATATTTGAACTGATCTACAGGCTTCATAGTACAACTGGTATTTAAGCAGAGAGATTAGATAAGTTTCACCTACAAGATCTTGCAGAGATTGCAGGTGGAGGTAAGAGGAAAGAAAACAAACAAAGGGAACATGATCTGAACAGAGCAGCATTGACTGAAGGGGCAACAGAAAAATAAAGAGAAACAGAGACAATGAGTGTACACATGCAGTGGCCTGGCTGGCAGCAGAGTGTCAGGGCACACATGCCTGACCGACCTAGTTCCACCCAATCCCATTCTCCCCCACCCAGTGCCCCTACTCCCAAGTCCCTCCCCCTCCTCTTCCTCACCTCCCTCCTTCCTTCCTTTTTCCTTTCCTCTCTTCTTTCTTGTTTCCTTCTTATCACACAAATGACTTTCCCTTCCATCAATGTATCATTGACCTGGCTGCAGTGCACACACGACATGCCTAGCCCTGGGTGCACCAGGCGACCTTCTTGCATGCTGGACACCCTCATGATCTCCCATGGAGATGCAGCTGTACACATAGATAATGTGGCACCTCCCATGTGACCTCAGCCACATGTATATAAACATAGCCTAAGTGGGAACTGAGGAAGTAGCCTTCTTCTCACAATTCCCACTTCAGTCTAAGTGGCCAGGGACATACATCTGTGCCAGGTCCATTGCTACATATGCCCACATCTCACCCTACCAGGCCCTCAGTGCTGGGTGGTATACCCAGGCACTCTTGACCCCAGATCAGTCCCTGACACAGAGAATAGTAGATAAAGAGGTTACTTGATATGTTACAACGGCAAGGCCTTGGCAGGTCATGGCCAAAGAGCAGAGGGTTCAGCATGGGAACGGAGGTAGGGAAAAGGGTAGGATGGAGGTTCATGTCCCTGGAGGTTGCTGGATTGTGACACAGCCTCCCTTCCTTACAATTTCCCACCCTTACTATTAGTGTACAAACCACCAGTCTAGCAATCCCTTGTTCCAGTGTGACATTGTGTCCATTGTGGACCATGAACAAAACATTGCATATTGAGTTGAGTTGGCTGAGCCCCTACAACCACAAGAGTATGAGGCCAGCATAGACCAAGGCGATGCTCCTGTGGAACCCAAAAGAGAAGTAGTCCATCTGCTGTAGTGACCCAGCCATCCTCACAAAGCAAGTCACTGGAGGACATCAGTGTTCCATTGCACACATTTGGATGGGCTGGAATGTATATTAGTTAAGATAACAAAGGCCATAATTGAGACATACAGCTGGCTGCCCATGCCAAAGCAGGTGATGATGGAGCCATCTTATCCACCAAGGCACTGGAGATGCAGGCACTGTCAGCAGAGAATGCAATGGATCTGACTGAATCAGAGTGCCCTTCCAGAGGCTTGCCAATTGGCACCTTGGATGCCGCATCCCAAATTCGCACTGTCTTGTCACCAGAGCCTGAGACAATGCGGGTGCCATCAGAAGAGAATGCAACAGATCTGACTGAATCAGAGTGCCCTTGCAGAGGCTCGCCAATTGGCACCCTGGATGCCGCATCCCAAATTCGCACTGTCTTGTCATCAGAGCCTGAGACAATGCGGGTGCCATCAGAAGAGAATGCAACAGATCTGACTAAATCAGAGTGCCCTTGCAGAGGCTCGCCAATTGGCACCCTGGATGCCACATCCCAAATTCGCACTGTCTTGTCATCAGAGCCTGAGACAATGTGGGTGCCATCGGAAGAGAATGCAACAGATGTGACCCAACCGGAGTGCCCTTGCAGAGGCTCGCCAATTGGCACCCTGGATGCCGCATCCCAAATTCGCACTGTCTTGTCATAAGAGCCTGAGACAATGCAGGTGCCATCAGAAGAGAATGCAACAGATGTGACCCAACTGGAGTGCCCTTGCAGAGGCTCGCCAATTGGCACCCTGGATGCCGCATCCCAAATTCGCACTGTCTTGTCATAAGAGCCTGAGACAATGCGGGTGCCATCGGAAGAGAATGCAACAGATGTGACCAAATTGGAGTGCCCTTGCAGAGGCTCGCCAATTGGCACCCTGGATGCCGCATCCCAAATTCGCACTGTCTTGTCAGAGCCTGAGACAATGAGGGTGCCATCGGAAGAGAATGCAACAGGTGTGACCCAATCGGAGTGCCCTTGCAGAGGAGGCAGAGGCTTGCCAATTGGCACCCCGGATGCCGCATCCCAAATTCGCACTGTCTTGTCATCAGAGCCTGAGACAATGAGGGTGCCATCGGAAGAGAATGCAACAGATGTGACCCAATCGGAGTGCCCTTGCAGAGGCTCACCAATTGGCACCCCGGATGCCGCATCCCAAATTTGCACTGTCTTGTCATCAGAGCCTGAGACAATGCGGGTGCCATCGGAAGAGAATGCAACAGATCTGACCCAATCGGAGTGCCCTTGCAGAGGCTCGCCAATTGGCACCCTGGATGCTGCATCCCAAATTCGTACTGTCTTGTCATAAGAGCCTGAGACAATGCGGGTGCCATCGGAAGAGAATGCAACAGATCTGACCCAATCGGAGTGCCCTTGCAGAGGCTCGCCAATTGGCACCCTGGATGCCGCATCCCAAATTCGCACTGTCTTGTCATAAGAGCCTGAGACAATGTGGGTGCCATCGGAAGAGAATGCAACAGATGTGACCCAACCGGAGTGCCCTTGCAGAGGCTCGCCAATTGGCACCCTGGATGCCGCATCCCAAATTCGCACTGTCTTGTCATAAGAGCCTGAGACAATGCGGGTGCCATCGGAAGAGAATGCAACAGATCTGACCCAACCGGAGTGCCCTTGCAGAGGCTCACCAATTGGCACCCTGGATGCCGCATCCCAAATTCGCACTGTCTTGTCATCAGAGCCTGAGACAATGCGGGTGCCATCGGAAGAGAATGCAACAGATCTGACCAAATTGGAGTGCCCTTGCAGAGGCTCGCCAATTGGCACCCCGGATGCCGCATCCCAAATTTGCACTGTCTTGTCATCAGAGCCTGAGACAATGCGGGTGCCATCGGAAGAGAATGCAACAGATGTGACCGAATCGGAGTGCCCTTGCAGAGGCTCACCAATTGGCACCCCGGATGCCGCATCCCAAATTTGCACTGTCTTGTCATCAGAGCCTGAGACAATGCGGGTGCCATCGGAAGAGAATGCAACAGATCTGACCAAATCGGAGTGCCCCATAAGCTTCTGGCGAACCACAGGCCATTGTTTGGAAACCTGCCCCAAAATGGACAGAGTTTTCCGGAATGCATGGTGCACATATTGCAGAACAGCAGATTGAGGTGAAAACGGTAAAGCTGACAGATAGATGTGTGGGAGGCTCTGACTGATTGGATACCCAAATGCATTCACAAATTTGTATGCTTCTGAGATAATTTCTTCAAGTCCTTGTGCATAATTCTATCCATAAAGTCTGTCAATTGTTACCATCGCGCATGAGAAAAGCGGCTTACACTAGCCCAACTGACCAGCCTCCTTAGAATTACGCTCAACATGGAGATCCGATCCATCACACTGAACACTTCAATCCAGTGTAGGAATCGGTGAAGGAAGAAATCCATGATTTCATTTGTAAGAGGGGGCGAGGCTGGTTCTGGCCCAGATCCAAATTCCAGATGGTCTACCCAGTATTGGCTCGCATACATCAGTACAGGTGTTACGGCTCGATTGACACGCTCCTGAAGCCCCTTAATTTCCTTGTTTCGGCAATAGGACGTCTCGATCCCACAGATGTTAAATTTGAGATCTCGCTGCATGATTCGGAGACAGCGAGATGCGAGGTCAAGGTGATGGACGGATGGGTTAATGTACCATCGCGGATCTTGACACCGATTGGGGTTGCACAAGAAATCAGTGAAAGATGTATGCAAGACTTGAATAGGACCCCCATAGTCCCCCCGCAGCAGCGGTTGAAACTGAGAGAGTACAGCTTGGACCTTGCCTATGCCCAATTCTAGGAGCTGACGAAGCTGCTCATCCATTAGCTGCTCACGAGCGACTACGATTGCGCCAACGATGGAATGAACGACTTTAAATTCACTTTCGTTGTATGACTTGAATGGATGAGTAAGAGCGACCCGATACAGCTCATTCAACCCATCGTCCGACGGGTCATGCACCGATCCACTTAATACTGTTTCCAACCGTTCTTCGGGAAAGCCGGATTGAATGAAGCGTATGGTTGTAGATGCCCAGATGAAAAGGCCTCCGGACAGAGTAACTAGTTTGTCTATCACAGGTTCTGTCAGCCAATTGGGTGGCAGAGAATACGTTTTGAAGGCGTCAGCGTTGCTGGCAAGCTGCTGTTGGAAAAGCAGCTTGATATCGGATAATGTGGACTTATCGCCGATCGGTGCGTCCCGCACGTCGACATCCAGGTGTGAGAGGGCAGCACGAATGTCGGGCTCATCTCGACTGGCCACCAATAACCGGAACATACTCGGAAGCCTAGCAAGGCCTTCGGAGAATGTGCGAAGGAGATTTCTCCTCGTCCCTGCAGTGCCACACTCATCAAGGGCATCAAGGACGATTACAATAGGAGCTAGATCGCACTCTTTTGCGAGTTCGGCCAGAGGCTGCTCGAGAAGATGCTTGAATTGCGTATCGAGGGGGGATGTAGTAATGTCGGGCGAATTTTCGATCTGTGCGGCCAGTTTCGCCCGAATCTCAGGTTTGAAACGACCCAGCTGGAAGGCAAGAGTACGAATCACACGGACAGGGTCACTATTGACAGGGTCGTTTCGGTCCCAAAACAGAAAAGAGCCACGTCGGCCCAGCTCTGAGAAGTATTGAGCAACGGAGGTGAGTATCGTACTCTTGCCGGATCCTGCCGGTCCACGAAACCAGATGATGTTATGACCGGAAGGATCTATCAGAGAATTAATGAGGTTTTCCAGGATGTCCGCTCGAGTCCCGGGTAAACATGTATCTCGATTTCCAGCATCCATAGCTGCGGGGCTCAGAGTTTTTAAGGCTTCGGTTTGGGCTATAATCCTTAAGTTATGCAGTGTCTTGTGCACATAAGATGGAGGTCATCGCACCAAGTTTCTCCACGTCCCTGGATATTTGAGCCGAGACGAATGCAGTGTGAGACGTTACTCCAAGCTGAAGCTCTCCACCGAGTTGTTTCAGCGCCTGCGAGAGGTTCGAGATGGTTTGGGAGGTGTTCGAGAATGGTTGGCGTACCAGTCGGCCTGCCGCACACTGGATGTTCAACACTGAAAAACCAATGGGCGATCGAGCAGCTTACCTGCGAATCCATGGGACACAAACTGCTTAATGAAAATACCGCATTCGGTCATTTGGACAGAGATTCGAATAATGACACGCTCGAGAGACTTGATTTTGTTTTCCAATTCATCGACGTCATCGACGAACGAATAGAGATCGGCCATAGAGTCGACCAGACTAAGGAGTGCATCATCTCGTTCAGTCTGTCCTTGAACGGCCTGGGACAACCGCTCGAAATCGTCAGGTACAACGGGCTCTCGCTATGGTAATGACAGATCCATACTTGGTATGCCGAACTCAAGATTTGCCAAGCAATATTTGCGTAAGGATGGAGCTTTCAACGACATCAGCGCAAACTAAAGACACGCCACCATCGGCAACATGTACCTTAGCTGTTTTATCGACAAGATCGACCACGACCTTTGTCTTTTCGACCACTTGTTTGAGCAAGCTCACGACACCCAGATTTCGGACTGTAGCGGTGGAGTCAACAACATTTTGAACCGGCTGGGGAATCGGAGGCAAATCAAGCAGCCCCTGGTCAACGTCGTAGGTGGCATTTTCGACAGCGGCTTCAAAGGCATGTGCCGTAGTTTCCCGCAGCTGCACAATGAGGGAGCCTGCCTCTCGACCTCGTTTGTCACGGAGTCCTAGGGTAGCTCCTATAGCAGTATGAGATGAGGCTACACAAGGAGGTAAGACTAAAGATAACCAGCTCACGTTGGTCATTTTTACATCGGTCCAACAACTCCTCTATCTTGATGTGCACGGAACCAAGCTCGGCGGGTAAACACGGCCAGCGAGAGTGCTTGAGGTGAAGGGACAAGACGGAAGATAATTCTGCAGTCCTAAAAGTGCGTACTTCACTGAGCTATCCGGGTTGATCTACCCTGATCGCGAGAGACCCACAGAGAACAAGTGTACTCCCAAGCTGGGGTCGAGTTTCGTTTCACCTCGGTTCTCTCAAATTTATTTCCCGAAAGTATAGGTCTGACATAAAGCGCCAGGGCTGGGGACGCTTTCCTGATATCTCTAGCCTCGAAGACTGCATCGGAATGAGGAGATGACAAAAACACTATAGCAAGGCTGTGACGTACCGTCTAGAGAATAAACACGCTTGGAATGTCCGCGAGTTGTCATGGCTGACTACTAGGTTGAACCTCAGCTGCAGAGGATTAGACGCTGTGAAGGCAGCTCGTTGCAGGTTACCGCGTGTCAAAGGGGGAGTCGTCGGAGCGAAGTGTCGCGAGTTGGTTTCCGGAGTAGGTGATCGGACTTGTGTTTATGTCCGTCACATGTGACTTTTGTATTGTTACCTTGCTTGCAACCAAACCCACAATTGCGTGGGAAAAATGTGTTTATATTACTTTTACTTCTCATGTGAGTTCCGAGAGCATGTGACTATTCAATGAATTGTGTCATGTTATGGTTGTCATCACCATCGTTTAACTGACTGAAGTTCTCCGCATTCAAGGCTTTGCACGCAGGCCGCATGGACAACGATTCATCGAAGTCTCGCAACAGTCTTAATGCCTGAGCTACGTGATAGCACCACACACACACTGAATGGTGTCAGTGCTCCGGTCGGAGGTGGCACCAGGTCAATTATGATATGGCTGATTGTTAGGTCCCCCCAATCCTTAGTTGGTAGATCCGAAACTTGGAACCACTCCTAAACCACCAGCCTGACTTTAATTACCACCATCCAACCTGATAAGAAGGCAGGATGGTGGGTAACGGAGCGAAAGCCATGATGAATTCACAAAAAGTCCGGCATTGCGTGAACAAACCCATCCTTTATTCAACTCAAGATCGTCACTCACATATTCACAAGAAGAGTCCTATTCTTGATCCAACTCAATATGTTTGCTTGGTAGTTCTACATCTTTGATAGTTTTGGACCCGATTCTTGATTCAATGTCAGGGTCGTGCATGCTCGCAACAAAGGATGCACCCAAAACCAAGTTGATAGCAAAGCTGGGGGACATGCCCACCCCAGCAAAGGATATATATGTACATGGTAGAGATGGTAACTAGCCAACTAACTAATAACCGGTAGAAGCAGATCAAAGATGATAGAAGATCACACAGTGTCAGAGACCAGGTTTGAGATGAAGGAAAGTCTCCATGGCGGAGGGCTTTGGCCTCAGCGACTTATGCCAAGAGCGCTGTGCCTAGTAACACGTCCGTGCCATAACTTACTAACTGGCAACCAGAACTGAAGGGGGTTAACTCTAGTTGATTTCATTACTGAAGTGTAACCTATGTACAAGTTGGATATATATATGGTTACAGCGAAGATGGGTCCGCAAATGGCAGAGCCAAACGGAGCGGAGCTAACAGGGTTAAACATTAGCTGACTGAATATTACCGACGAGTTGGGTTATGGGGTTAACGGAAAGGCAGGCGATAACCCAGAAACGGAAAGGAGGGATAGGCCTGAAGGAGGGCTCTGCAGGGCAGGTGAGTGTATTGCCCAACAGAGGCAGGAGTGCGCTAGCGGACATCGGAGCTGTCCAGAAGTCTTCAGGGCTCCGTACTTAGGGAGGCGTAGGTAATAAATTGAAAGGAGGGGGTGGTGACCTTCGAGGGGTACCGAGGGGATTGCGGAATATGGAAGCTCCGAGGTTAGTGAAGAAGGAGCGGAGGTAGACCAGAGGGATCGGAGGTACCAGAAGTCGTTGGCCGGGGATGGATATGACACACAGCATCATAACCGATACCGTGTGACCGGATCAAATAGAAGATCAGAAGCGGAAAAGAAGAAGAACCTGATGGGGATATGGGCCATGTGGCGCTGCGCTACTTATGCTTGCGACCCGAAGACGTGCCCTGACATTCAACTCATATGTCCACTTGGTAGTATTGCACCCTTAACCCCAACTCGAAGAATAATTTCTTGAACTGACATGAGTAAATCTGGTGAATTCCATCGCAACCCATGATGAGCAACATTCCAAATATTTGCATGATCTGCAAGCAAGGTCATGGTTGCAAAGCAACCTTTCTAGTAATACAACAACAACTGAGTCGAGATTTTGCACAGCTGGGTACGAGTCTGTCCCGTAATTGGTTGTGCAGGAAATCGTTCCGGTGTGCAATGATTTTTACATTTGATTTTGACACACTGAATGCTGAGGGGGGCCTGTCAAAAACCCTGAATGTAGGGGAAAATGCGTGAGTCTGAATGCAGGTGGGGCTCAACTGGAGGGGATCCAAGAGCTCCAGTAGTGAACCGAAGCTCCTCCAGGAAGCCCGGTTCTGCTGGATGGTACAAGAGGCTCTAAGAAGGATGCGGCCTCAGCGACTCGGAGGGAGCGCTGTGCCTCTGTTACATCTCAGTTAGTCCTTGTATTTCATGTGTCTGAGGTATCTTGTAGAAAGGGGTCAGGATTCACTTCAGAGGGACTTGGGGTAACATTTTAGTCGAGATTAGAACTAGGGGAAACTACAGGTTCTAATCTACAGGCATTTATATGGAGGAGAGGAAAGGACTTTAGTCAAAGTCCGAACGATAATAGGAAACACCGAAAGGTGCCGAAAGATACCGAGAGGTACTGAAAGGTCCCAAACGATATCCTTAACGGGGAACCGGGGTGTCGGGTCAAGGAGGGCAGAGTAAGAGGCTGGAGGATGAATGGGAACGAGAAATGGGTAAGAGGGGGTTAGCCGACTGAATGGAAAGAAGAAGATAGTCATGCTATAAATGGAAGGTGACTAGTAAGTGATGACGTGAGTGGGGTCACTGAAGGATGCGGGTAGCTCCGAAGGCAGAGTTATGTATCCAAGGGATGTTGGGTGACTCCAATAAATGAAATGGGTGGGGGAATGGTTTAGGGGTATGTCATGGGATGTTGGAGATCCATCGGGATATTGGAGCAAATCCGGAGTTTCCGAATGTTCCGACTCGGGACCGAGCTTCCGGGATGGGAGTGGCCAAGGTTCGGTGTGCCGCAACCAGGCTGGAGCTGAGACAGTTAGGAAGGAAGGTGACTTGGGGAGTGGGGAGTCATGGTGTAGGGGATGGTGAAGTTGTTAGGAAGGTGTGGTGTGGTGGGAGAGCGCGGGGTTGGGATTCTGGGATATGACAGGGCCAATGGTTCATTCAGCATCATCACCACCACTTCGCACTGTCCCGCAAATGTGAATGTGACTTCATGGTCTTCTGGTATTGAGTTGACAAAAAAGCAACTAATTTCATTGTGTTTCAAATGCTAAGCTTGAAGCCAGCTAGACTAGCAGACTGTTAGAACGGGCAGATTCAGACGACTCCGGAGTGGAATCGGAGACTTAGTGTGGAAGGACCTTGGCCTCAGCAACTCAGGCAGAGCGCTGTGCCATTGCTGGTTGTCCTAGGGGTCCCTAATTTCAGATCTAGCAGAGGGAAAGTCTCTTGGGGGCATTTCAGGTCGATTTTGGACTGAGGTTACAAGTTACTATGTACATTGTATATAAGGAGGGGTCCGGAATCAAAAGGAGCAAGGGTACTCCGAAAGCAGACAAAGGGAGCTGGAAGGAGGAACAACACTGAGGGTCAAGGGTTTGACTCAATGGTGTTTCCCAAAGGAGGAGTGAAGGGCCAAGGCCCAAGGAGGAAGGAAGGAGGATGGGAGTGGGGAATGGCCAGCTGACTGAATAGAAAGGAAGCAGCAGCCCAAATAGGAATGAGGGAGAATAGCGGAATTGAATAGGACAATGCAATAGTTGCAAGGTCCGACATAAGTCCGGAAAGTCCGAACTCGGAAGTTAAACTCCGGAATATTGGCAAACGTAATTAAATGGAATGAGCTAACCAATACAATGGGTATAAGCGGAGGTGGGGTCAAAGTCCGAGGTCGGAGCTAAGACCGGAGGTTCCGGAGACAGAGATGCAAACGGGATTCCGGAGACAGAGATGTGAACGGGATTCCGGAGACAGAGATGTGAACGGGATTCCGGAGCGGAGGTCCGGAGTCGGGAGCATAGGTGTTGCATGCTTGTCTGGAAGGTGTCGAGGATGAGGTCGGACCCGGAATGTTCCAGAGTCGGTCCGAAGGTGGTGTCAGAGCCGGAGGTGGGATAACCTCTTGGGAGTCAGCAAGGAGGAGGTGACGGAAGGGAAGTAGGACTCTGGAAGTCAGTTTCGGAGTTCCGGGAGCCCGGAGCGGAGGTCGGGATTGTATGGATATGACACAGACCAAGAAACGACAACGTCTGGGCAAGAAAACCATGAAGGTCAGAAAAAACA